TCATTATAGGCATAATATATCTTAAGTTATAAATAACTTTTCTAAAATATATTGACATCTGAGACAGCAAACAACCTAAAAGTAAATAATAGAATTAATCAAAATTTAATATATTTAGAATAAAAAATATTATAGTTGAATTCAGATAAAAGAATGTAATCTAATATACCCAAATAATAACAGTAAAATCGACTATAAAATAATAAAATTGACTAAATATAATATTTCTAAAATAATATGTCTAATTAAAGTAAAATAATATTATTAATATAAATCATGTATGCAAATTATAAATTAATTGAAAATTAAAAGTAAATAGTAATTAATTATTATAGTATATTTACTTAATAAATATTGATACCCGTGCATGAGCACGGGAAAATCACCTAGTTTTACTTTGATTCTTGGTAAATTGAGCAAGGACATGGGACGGTGTATGATTGGTAGTGGTGAAAATCGAATGGTCAGTATCTCATGGTAGAGATATGGTTCAAACTTGTAGCTAAAACAGTACATTAGACAGAGACTGCACTGATGACTTTGTTAGAGAGAATGTGGATCTCACGTGATATGTTTGATCATCGACCTCGTAGTTTGTGGTCGTTGCAGATCAACGATGATCTATCAATATTGAGCTGAAAAGCAGCACCAGTATCATGAGATATAATATTTCTACTGTTTGATCATTTGAACTGGAATATAATTATGATTTTCTGTGACTCATATATCTTCGCCAAAAATTATAAAGAATTATATAATACTACTATTTAAGGCATGTATGTTTATGTTTTGTAGAATCTATGTGTTGATGTATTTTTTTTTTAAAGTTTATAGATATTCTAATATATAACCAGGTTCATTAGATACTTTAATAACATAAACTTTTGTATCAAACGCATTATATAATGTTGACATAATATTTAGGTTCCGAATGGTAATATCGAATTAAGCGGTGCGAGACAAACGGTCAAACTACAATGCAGTTTTAACAGTTATAAAAATATATAGATATATGGTATATGTAGAGATTTTTGTTACTATTAACTGTGGTGCGATGCGGTATGTCGGTTTACCATTCGAAACCTTAGAGGCGCAGAGACATGTTCAGTATCCAACTGAGGAAAGTAATCAAGTTCGATAGGTTTTAAGAGGCAACCCTAGTATGCCATATATGTGATCAGTAACCCATTTTAAAAAGGTGATTGGTGGTAACCTATTGCAATAGAACGTTTATCAATGAGGAGACCAGTCATAACTTATGACTCAAAAGTTAGATATGGATGCCAATGAAAATCAAAGACGCATAGATTTAGTTTAGTTTTTGTATGTAGTCGCTCCAAAAATTTAAAAACAAAGAAGTGTGCATAGTCAACAATCTGAACGTTGAAAAGAACAAGCATATATGCATTGGCAGCAATAGCATAAACGTATGTCAAAATTTGTCTTTTTAACGGAACTCTTGAAGCATATTTAATCACTTTTCCAAAATTACCTAATGGGTCACAAGGCCCACAACTCACATGACAACCCACTGAATCTGGATTTGACCTTTCCTTCTTAAATAAAAAACAAACGACGGCGTAAAACGCCGTGAGGCGACCGTCACTTTCTTCTTTACGAAAACCCCCAACGTTCCTATTTCTATTCAAACACATCAACGTAGCAAAAAAAAAAATTAATAAAACAAATTCATCTCTGCTTCTTCGTCCCTCCTCTCAAGAATCAAAACCGAAAACATCACACCACTTCCAATGGGATGTTTTGGTGGTTGTTTCGGTCTCTCTTCTTCCAACACAAAACGCAGAAACTCCACAAGGAAGATCCTTCCTCGTCATCAAGTAACCTTCTTTTCTCTTCTTTCTCAAAAGAACACTCTTTCTTTCTTTCTAACATTTGTTTCTTCTTGCAGAGAATCTGTAGCTATGAGCCTCTACTCTCTTCAGATCCATCAGATTCCATCACCAATGTAGTAGATAGCCCTGAAAAGATCTCCACTTCGAACCTCATGTCAGTGTTTCTTCCCGTTTACTCTGTTTTACAGATTTGGATTTACTCATAAAAGATGATACCTTTTTACTCTGAGACTATCAACCGGCTATAAAGGCCAAACCTAAACCGGTTTTAGCAGTTAATGAGTCGAAACATTGTGCAGAGATGGTCATTTAAACAATGGTCAATGCTCTGTTTCTTTCTGGTATTGTGTCAGGTGTGAGGTGGAGGCAGAGGAGGAGAAGGAGAAAGGAACGATAAAGACTAGGAAGAGAGTCAGATTCAACTTGAATGTACAAACCTTTGAACCAACTCTACCATCAAGATACGAGAATTATTGCAGTGATGATGATGAAGAGGTAAAAGGAGAAATAAAGAGCAGTAGTGGATCTGTGTATCCTTCAAACTACAGATACCATAATTGTGTGGATAGTTTCGAAGATGAAGATGAATTAGAAAGTGATTTGGAGGATGAAGACTATTGCTCTGATGATGAAAATGACTATGAAGACGATGCTGATGATGAAGATGAGGTTTGTGGCGATCAGGATGTGACTCCTCTATTGAATCCAGTTGAGAATATTGCGCAGTGGAAAGCGGTTAAAGTCAAGCCAGTAAGAGTTAAACAGCTAATGAAGGAGAACGTTAAAGCAGATAGTGATGATCAAGCAAGGCCACTGCTGAAGGAGATCATCGTCAATGCTAGCCTTGCCGACTGGGTGGCCTCACCGAAGAGTGTTCATGGGAATGGTTTGTGTAAGAGATCACCAATTGTGGACATCACCAACATGGCGAAGAGGTAAAAGGTTTCAAAGTGATTCACAAGTGTGAAGGAGGAGAAGAAACAGTGTGTTTTGTTGTTTGTTTTTGCAGCATTTATGATTCTTTGTATGTTGTGGGGATATGGAGGTTTGTATCGGTTTCATTTTGATAAGGTTGTGATTCTTTCAAGGTATTTGCATCTGCTTATAGTTTGTGTGAGAACAACTAACGGAAGCAGAGGAAAGAAGGAATAAATTGCTGCACATGCTTACAATTGAATTAGCTCGTGTGTTGCAGTAAAAGACATACATATATAGTTTACTGTCAAAACCTGTCATCAAATCAAACAGCACTCACAAAGATCTTTGGTTTGAAGATCAGCTTCTATTGGAATATAGCAGTAATCTATATAATCTATATACTCTCACTCCTGTAACTGAATTGTGATGATAAGGTATAAGCTTCTATTTTGAACTGGCTTCTTGACATAAGTCCTGATCAAAAAAGCAGACGAACCTGTTGGTTCGTCTGTCCTCAAAAAAACCTGATTGCTAAAAAGAAGCCAGATAAAGAGAGATGCTCATTGTTAAACTCCATGTTAATGGTTGTTGATTGCGGGTATTGAGGGGCTACATAATTGTGCAGATGCAGGAATCTGAATCATCGTCATCTGTATCGCTTACTTCACTGCAAGCATAATGATAAAACACACAACAATGTAAGAGAAAGTAGATTATGTATTGGACTTATAGCAGAGGGAACTACCAATGTGGAACATTAAAATAAGTCTCCAATAACGTAACTTCTACAGTAGTTCATCAAATGAAAAATGGTTGTTACTTCACTATCTTCAGGTGTTTTTGCTAAGTTCAGATTCCACAAGCACCATGATGTCTACAGGCTAATCACCTATTATCTTTGGGATACGAATGAAAGCAATGATATACACTACGATTTACAAAGGAACACCCAACTGTTTCTCATAGACTCATCAGCAATAACACAATGTGGTCCAGGTTGATTAGCAACGGAACACAAGAATGTCTCTACTGAAACCATTAAACTAAAAGGGCACTAGTCAAAGATCAAAAAAGACCATTCCAAAACCTCAAATATCAGTCCAAATCAATACAAACCTAACATTATATGTTACCAATCCCGCCTTTGCAAAACTATTAACATCTAACTAGCAGAGGCAGACCAAATAAACGAGAACACAATCACACTACAGTTCATCAATTAAAGTGAAAAAGATGAAGGAAACAAAACAAAACAGATAACAGAGAATCGTGTTCCTTACCTTGGTTCATAAACCAAAACCTCAGCAAGATTGTCTCCTTTGTTATCATTCCACTGAACAGTCCTCTTAATCTTGTCAGTACTTCTAGACATCCCTCCTTTCCTAGGAGGAGGCAATAAACACTGTGACTCGCTTTCTTCTTCTTCCTCCTCCTCAGATATCTGATCCTCAACCTCACTGCTCTTTACACTAATAACAACAGCTTTATTATTACTATTACTCTCACATCCATTGGCTTCTTTAGCCTCTCCACAAGTCGTATCCATAAGACCCAAATCCAAAACAATCCGGAGAAGATAGAAAGATTCTTCCTTTTTTTTTTCTTTCCTAATTCATCTCAAATACAATCCCACCTGAATCCCACAATTAAGCTAAAAGGAACATTAAAGGTTTGAGCTTTATCCCTTCCTGGTACAAGGATAACAAAACCCTAATCACCAAATTCAAAAGTAAACCCAGATCAAGAATCAAGATCCAGATCGGGAATTCGAAACCAAAAAACTGAAATTGAGAAGAAATGACTCGATTTTTCACCGGAAAAATTAAAACTTTGAGAAGGAGTTAACATAAACAGCAGATCATCTAATCGAATTCAGGAAGAAATTTCAATGCCGATAACAAAAATCTGAGAGACGCGTTTTTCTCTCCTATGTTGTGATTGGATGCTGAGAAAGAAAAAAAAAGTGAAAAGAAAATTTTGTTTTGTAGAATCAACGGTGAGGATTTGACATGAGGGGATTGACTTTTGAAGATCAGATTAAAAGCTTTGGTTTGTAATCTCGTTGACTAATTATTTTTTGAGTAAGCAAACTTGTAATTATTCTAGTTAGTTTTTTTTTTCCGACAATTATTCTAGTTAGTATTTCCCCCTTTTTACATTACAAGCACAGCTAGTTCAGCTATAGTTTAATAGGATCTGAATGTCATTTCAGATTGACACATTTAAAATCAAACTTATTATAGAAATATGATCTTGGTGTGACAAACACAATTTTACTGAACAATTATTGAAAATAAAGTCAGGGATAATAGTTCCACGGTATGTATCTTACACGTTGTATCATCAAAATCAATGTATAGTTTCCAATGTTAATGGTCACCAGAACAAAATATAGCGGATAAAGTACGAGTTAGTCTGGTGATTTACGGTTTGCGGCTGCAAGTACGGTTTTGGATTCGATTCACACTGGCTATCGAGGTTTTCATATGGGTTCTTCGTCCGAGGAGACTAACACGTGGCCTAATCCAAAGCGGTCACCAAAAGCTCTAAGTTTATTACGTAACTAGTTTAGATTCACGATGTGAGAGACAGGAAACTCCTCGTAAATATAAAAAATAAAATTTAGTATTTTTTTTTGCTGTGCACTATTTTTATCTTAATGGTAGAATATACATGTGCCTCTACATTTTGGTCAAAAAGGGAAAAATTAGGGAAATACCTTTAGTGGAAGCTCATATTTGAATTTTGTCTTTGATAGAACAGAAGAAGTCCAAGCCATACAATTAACCATAACAACCTTCGTTGCGTATGTCAGAGCTTTCTGACTCTGAAAGACACACCAGCAGCTATGAATTGTCGCGTATGTCAGAATAGGTCTTCACCTACAAGTGATCTGAGCCGTTCATTTAATTCAGTTTATTGTGTCCAACAGTGGGGGCATTACGCTAAATACCACATCGAGAAGATGAGAGTCAAATATATCTCAAATGGCGCTCTCCGTTTAAGCATATACTGAGGATTGAGATAGTTAGCATTTGAAAAAAAAGTTTGAAGAAGCAAAAGAGAGAGAATGAAAGCTGTGAAAAGGAGTTGAGATTTGTAGAATTCGATTGACAAAAACTGTTTTTCCTCCACTCACTGGTAAGTCCTATGATGACATGCAGTGACAATCAACCCATTTTTTATGGGGTTTACGCATTACAAATATTATATTTTTAAACATTAATAAATTAAAATTTCAAATTTTCACTTTATTAGAGTAATATATGGGTCACTTAGTTCGCTTAGTTGTAGGTGAATGGAAGCAAAGTGGAAAAGGAGCATGGAGGTTCAACACTGATCGGACGGTGGTGAAGCACGATATTATGGGTCACTTAGTTCGCTTACTTGTATTTGTTTCTGAACCCTTCAAAAAGATATTTTCAGAACTCTTCAGAAAAATATTATGAATCTTTCAGAAAAATAGTTTGAACCCTTTGGAATCAAAACCCTTCAAAAAATGTTTATGACCTTTTTAAAAATAGTTTATTCATGAGTAGTGGTATATTAATTCATGACATACTGATCAAAATATTGAAAGCTGATAATAAGTAGCTAAGTTGGTTTAAAATTAATTTTAGAATTAATTTTTAAACCCTTTTGAAAAATATTGTTGGTTTTGTGAAAGTAATAGTTAAAAAGAATATATGCGAGTTTGAACAAAAGCCATGGGGTCAACAAGGAAACTTCTCACCAGTTTGCCACAATAAACAAAACGAATTTAAACCAATAAATCAGATTTTATGGATTTTATAAGGGTCAGTAGACCCCTATCCACAAGGTGGCTCCGCCACTGTTTGTCGGTGTGTTTCTACTTGAGTTCAAGCATCTCTTTACTTGTATTTTTATTTTTATTTTTCTTATGTTAACAAACATTCTAATAAATTAAGCATTTATTTTGAAGAGTAATAATCTTTGTTTTGTGACGTACCACAAATTATCTTTCGCTTAGATTTGTTTTAAAACTTATAAGAATTTAAATGTTTGTAGGAAAAAGAGATTATTTATAGAAGAAAAATTTTATGTTTTAAATTTTCTGTGTAGTTCTTTTAAAAGTTATGTATAATTTAATTTTAGTTATAGTTACTTTTTATAATTTGCAAAAAAAAAATTCAAAATTATTGTCTCAAAAATTCTACACACGGCACTAGTGGTCACATGAATTTGAAGATATGCTTTAAATCTCATTTGAATATCAGAGAAAAAAAATTTGGACCTAAAATATATTTTTCAGTATAGATTAGTATGAGTCTTTCTATACATATATCTCTAATTAATAAATAATCATATATTTTTAACTAATAAAAGGTGATTAAACCAGTTTGTTTTTAGTAATTAATTATCAATGGATACTATAGACTTTTTCGAAGAAAATGAATGGTTTTCTCTGAAGAAACTATACAAGATTGCTTTTGGCGGAAGAGAAACACATCACCTATACATTATTTACCAAGTGATTTATATTGTATCATCATTACAACTATTCTAAAAAATATGATGACATAACTGAAAATAAATGTGAGATGGATCTTTCTTAATTATGACGTGGCATAAAATTAATTATAACATGAAAATATATGGCAAACATCTATAATCATTACTATAGCTATAAAACATAAGAAATAATTTAAATATTATAGATTTATTATAAACTTGCAAAATAAACATATTAATAAAAAAACTAAAAAATATTCCTTGGTTTATTGAAATTTTATATATTTCAATGTTTCATTGTAAATTGAAAATGATACGAATGTATTTTTTTTATTACATTTGTATACTACCCATGTCTATGATTTATTAAATATAATATATACATAGTATTATAATTCATGTTTAAGATACAAATAATAAAATATAGATAAACATATGTAAGGAATTTTTATAATATTTTTATTCTGCAGATAAAACTTCTATGGAAACTACTTATGTTTTATATATTCAAAGTTTGATCTACTTTTACAAAATAAAAAATATTTTTAAAATATATACTATTACTTTAAAATAATTATAGCATTCATTTTAAATAATATCACAACTAATATTTACCAATTGATTGTTTTAATTTATAATCACTACAAGAACACAAGTTAGTTCTTGTGGTAATGAGATTGCAGGTATAATTACCGTCATCCAGATTCGACTCGTATTATAAGAGATGTTTTATGTCAAAAATTGTATTATTACTGACTAATCTCAGACCTAAAGAGATTATTTGGACCGAAGGTCTAGACACCTCCTGATATACAAGAAAAAAACGACGACATAAATTATTAAAAATATGACATATCTATTAATCATTATAATAAACAATTAAAAGATGTGTAAGATATTATTTCCGAAAAACAAAATAAATTTATATTTAAACTAAAGGTCAGTGTAAATTAAAAAATTCATAAACTAAATATAATCTTAATTACAAATGATTACTTTATATTTTTAAAGTTAAATAAATATAATTAATTAAAAATTAATGTAATCTAATATTTTAGTTTTTTTTATTATGTTTGCATGGTGCATGTAAATATGTAATTATATCTGAATTAAGGATACTAATTACTGAAGAGTTTCCGTAAATTATAAATACTCAAGATTCTTGTGAATTATGAGAACGCATAAAATAAGCACGATGTTTTTTTCACACGGACCTATCACAAACCGATGATCGCAGATCGCCACGTGAATGGACCGCATTAGATATAGTCGTGTATAATTTGTCTATTGTTTTCTTTTGTATCGTTAAACCACAAAGTCACGACACGTGTCTATTATTTCTTTTTCTTATCACATCATCTTACTTATAAAAGGACCACGAAAACCAAAATATCAGTGTCCATCTTTTGCAAAAGTAGAAACTGAGAGCATCTTCAATTATTAACACTTGCAGAAGAGAGAGAGAGAATGGGAGAAGAGTCAGAAGCTTTTGCCACGACGGCGCCGTTAGCTCCGGTGACCGGTCAGCGAAAAGTAAGGAACGACTTGGAGGAAACATTACCTAAACCATGTAAGTATATATGCCTGTCTAAACTTAAAAGAGTTAAATATGTAAACACGCAGAAATATATAAATCCTACTAACCGCTGCGACTAACATGACATATCCGTAAAAAATACTGTGTTCGAAGTTCGATAATTCCGAGTTTTTAGTTTCTTAAACTTCGTGATTAAAAAAAAAAAAAAACTCATTTTAGATTAGCACTTCATCTATGAACTTTGAAACTGGATTATGACATGGCTACCACTTATCATGTAAAATTTATATTTTTCCTCTAAATAGTAAAGTAAATTACGGGTTGCAAAGCAAAAGGGAAGTAGATTACTGGTTTTCACAAGAGTTTTTTAAGGATTTAATTTTTAAAATACTCTTAAAACGCATGTTTTAATTTTCATTATCACAAAGAAGAGCTGTATTATTATGATGAACAACTTTTCCTAAATTATAAAGGGTTGAAGGTAACATTCATTAAGGTAGTGGTCACTACTAATTATAAAAAAGTTGGAAATCAGATTTGGCAAGAGCACTAGTAGCTCCAGATACAGAGAATCCAAACGGATCAGAAGGTCATGACAGCAACGGCATGAGTGTTATGCAACAACATGTTGCTTTCTTCGACCAAAACGGCGATGGAATCGTCTATCCTTGGGAGTCTTATGCAGGTCATTATTACCCCTTTTTTTCTTCTAACTTTTCAAAGAAATTAGAAACCAAACAATTATTTAAAACGTAACATGTCCACATATTTATCACACTGTAACAACAAATATTGATTTTTCTTTTTTGCAGGATTCCGTGACCTCGGTTTCAACCCAATCTCTTCTGTTTTTTGGAGCATAATCATAAACTTAGCGTTTAGCTACGTTACACTTCCGGTATGTAAAAAAAATCCTTATTAAGACCCTTCAGACTGAATCGTCTAATTATTATTACTATTTCTAGACTGATATAATATATGTTGTGAATGGTTAATATTGTAAATAGAGTTGGTTGCCATCACCATTGTTGCCTGTTTACATCGACAACATACACAAAGCCAAGCATGGGAGTGATTCAAGCACCTATGATACCGAAGGAAGGTATAACATTCACTCAAACACGTTACACACCCAATCATTTCAAACAGAATTTTCATAATATGTAAAACCAAATATTGTAGGTATGTCCCGGTTAATCTCGAGAACATCTTTAGCAAATATGCGTTAACGGTTCCAAATAAGTTATCATTAAAAGAGCTTTGGAACTTAACCGAGGGAAACCGAATGGCAATCGATCCTTTTGGATGGTTAGTACCAAAATATTATTGGTTCTTAGTTGATTATATGTGACAATACATCTCTTATTTAAGTTATTATCCGGTAAAACCGAACTAAATCCGAGCGGTTTTGTGTATTGCTTTGTGGCAGGCTTGCGAATAAAGTTGAATGGCTACTAGTCTATCTTCTTGCAAAGGATGAAGAAGGCTTCGTGTCTAAAGAAGCTGTGAGAGGTGTCTTTGATGCAAGTTTATTTGAATACTGTGCTAAAAAGAATAAAGAAAAGGCCAATTCTCGCAAGCAAGACTAAGCAGTTGTTTACCTTTTGTCTGTTATAAGTATGTATCACTCATGTATTTGCAGCCTTGGTATTATCAAGTTCTCAATCTTAGTTACGGAAAAAACAAGTGAACAAAAACTCTATGGGGATGAAAACGTTTGTTCTTGAATATAATGTTGTGTAAATTTGTTGAATAAATAAAATTGAGATTCTCATCAATCATTATGGCAGAAGAGAACAAGTGATAAAACAACTTAATTTATTAATATAAGACATTACATATATCATATCTTTTAAATACAAGACATTACATATATATCTACAAAATTTTCAAATGTCTATGTAACGTAGTAAAACATTCTTCTTCACAAATTCAGCGTTTCTAATTAAAAAACATCCTTCTTCACTACTGTTTTATTCATCCAATCCGGTCTAAACGGCTAAACCCGTTATTCTTATTTATTTTATTTTCTTTGACCGGGGCATTACAAAAACACATATACTAATTAACAAGTAATAACTCTATAGAAGTACTATAGTTATATAAAACTATATAAGATTCATGTTATAAACATGAGTTTTTAAGACCTGAAACTCAAATCCAAGATTGAATTGAGTAATTGCACTTGAAGGAATTGGGTTCACTAATGTGTGCAAAAATGTCTGAAGAATCTACCAACTGTTCCTCATCCTTCACGCCCATCTGTAAACCAAACCGGTTTAATTATTAAGTTAGTTTAATCAGCAGTCCCTTTTAACAATTACATCGAGTGAAAAACAAACCGGGCTTCTTACACGGTCCTCGTCTTCATCATCATGATGGCTTGAAGAACCTTGTTTATTTAGTTCACCAAATTCATCATTCCTTGCAAATCTTCCTCTAACTCTTGGTCGACTATCTGCCAATGTTTTTCTACACGCATACTATAACAAAAAAAAACAATTGTAATAACAATAACCAACGGTTTATTCCGGTTTGATTTAGTAAGAACTGAACCTTGATTTTTTTGCTGAAATTTCTTTCGTTTCTTTTCTTCATGTACCTATTGATCCTCTCTTTTCTTTGCTCAGGGGTGAGTTTAACAACTTTATTTAGTGTTGAATCTTCTAAACCGGTTATCTCAACTGGTCCTAATGTTGAGTGAGTCTGAGGTACCACTAAGTGGCTTTTGTTCTCAACGCCATTAAGTACCTTTTTAAATCAAAAAATATTCTGATTAACAATATTGAACCGGTCATTATATTCCTTCATGACAAACCAAAATTTCTCTAACTGAAGATAACCAACTAAAACCGAGAATTTAGCTGCACCAAACCAAACTAGAAGTTCTCTAACTGAAGATAACCAACTAAGAACCGTGATTTTAGCTGCACCAAACCGGTTCCTTTGATAAAAGTTAGCATTTTGGCGAGCATATACCAAATTACACATTTGATTAATAAAGAAAACCAGAAATCTTTTCATGAAAATAACCAAACCTAAACTAATTAAGTGTAACAAAAATTGAAATTAACTTTCAAATTTTACCTGGAGATCTCCTGGATTAAAGATGTCTTTGATGGTATCCGGACAAAATAATCCACCATTGTCAGTTTGAAAATCCATGAGTTGATCACGTGGTTTGTTAATATCCAATCCGGGATATAAACCAAAACCATTATCGGAAGATAATAAACCGGTGCTCATATTCCCCATATATGGCGGTAAACCGGAAGTACGAAAGAAAGAGCAAGGGTTAGGGTTTAAGCCAATATTGTAACTTGGGACAGAAGAAAGACAATCTTCTTCGAAAACCCCTAATGGTAATAGAGGGGGAACTATAGACGAAGCCTCTGGTATAGCCAGATTATTGTCTCCAGAGTGTGAAATGTTAGGAAGCTGATGAACAATCTGAGAGAAATCAAACTGGTCTTGATTTGTTGTTGTAAGGAGCTGATCGATAAGTGGATATTGTAAAGGGGATGATGAGAAATCGATTGAAGCTGCTATGTCGTTTTCAAAATCATCATGTGAATCGAAAACTATGGAGAGATCCGCGTTATTGTTGTCGTCTTCATCATCTTGAAATATGTTGTTCATGTTGGTGTTACTGTTCTCAGTTGTTGTGGTTGTGTTAGTGTCTTGGAAGCTCCCAGATTTCTCAAGAATGTTTGAAACAGAGTTGGCTTCAGAGGATTGATTGTAAGTTTCTTGAAACTGTTGTGGATCACAATAATCGAAGATTTGAGAACTAAGAGGGCTCGTGATATCATCCTGGTGAAATAAAATAAAACAAATTAATGTTAGATTTAAAAAATTATATGGAACAGAGAAAGTATATAATCAAAGATCTTTTAAAGACATTACGTTAAAACCAAGCATCAAAGAAGAGAAATTAAAGTAAAAAACAAGAATTGTGTGAGATCATTGAGAAATTAAAGCTTGGTTCTGGAGGCAGATTTATACTATAGTAATTTTTTTTTTCTATTGTGTCCTTAATTATCTATAGAGAGAATCTATAAGATATGTCTTTATTCTGTTTTTCGACATCAAAACACTCCCAAGATTTTTGTGTCTTGATCAGATCCAATCTTTTCTCCTTTGTTATTAGTACCAGTTTAGAACAACACAAATGTTCGCAAAGAGAGATTAAATGCATCTGTTCTTTCATGTGACATGTTTAGAAGTAGTGTTCCCAGTTCCAATAGCTAAAAAAGAAAAAGCAAAGAAAGAGTGGAGTTTCTATAAATGGAAAGTTTTCTGATTCTGGCATTTCTTGTTGGTGCTTAGAAAATAATTTAACTATTGCCTGGTATGAACCAACATTTAGATTTTTTTCCCACAAAGAAAAAGTAAAGGGCACTTCATAAGATATAAGAACATGCAAGAAACCTCCATTATGATCATATATACATCAAAGTACTACTAGTGAAATTTACCAAACTTTATAAATTCGAATGTGAGAAACTAATCTAGCATTTACTTTTTGGCATAAATCGCATGCTCGAATGTGATAGAAACAGTTGAATGGATTGTTGTTTTTTTTCTGATAGAAATAGAATGGACTGTTGTTTGTAGAACATTTTTAGTATGACGTAACGATTTTCAATTGGCTCAGAAGTAACAATCGTACGCATGCAGGCGAATAAGAATGATAATGTTCAAAAACCGTATGTTAATAAAAAAAAATTCTTTAAAGAAAATCTTGAAAGATAATTGAAGTGTGTAGAGAATAACAAAGA